TTTTGTCAAACAAATGTTTTATTGTGATCAAGCCGGAAATAATCAAATGTACCAAAATAAATATATTAATTAATCAAATGTACCAAAATAAATATATTAATTACGTAGTCAAATTGATGGCTTTATTTATCCGATAACTAATTATGTATAGAGGGGTCTGTGACGGCCCTGATTTTTCAAGCCAATGCGTCCTGTGATAAACCGAAGATTGACCAGATAACGAATCCGAAAACAGAAAATAAGACTCTAAGAAGTCAAAGTGACCTTCAATGAGGTCGTGGAACTCAATGAGAACTGATGTGGAAGTAAAAGATCAAAAATATGACAAATAATCCCCCAGGGGTAAAATGATAATTTTCTAAAAATATGAACTCGGGTGCCACCAAGTACACTGCTGGGAAGGAGTCCAGACTCAAGATGGACTCAAGAATCGCATGATTCGGAGTCTAGACGAAGGAGAAACGGCATGACGAAGAAAAACGAGCACTTAAGGCAAAAAAGGTAAACTGATAATTATCTAGGAAGATCTGGGTGCAACTAAGTACACCGTTGGAAAGATAGTGAAAAAATAGTCGAGTTCAAAAAAAAGTTCACTAGATTTGGAGTCCGGACGAGGAAGAAACGAGGGTTTGAAGTTAAGACATTGCGGCAGCCCGACGAAGGCCATGCGCGAGCCCACCGGCGCCCCATGCGGCGCCCAATGGCATGCACATGCTGATAGAGAGAGAGAGAGAAGGAAAAAAAAAAATGTGAGTTTCCAGAATTGAGGCTTGAAACGGAGGTCGAGACGAGTTTTTCTGGAAAAACACAAAGAAGAAACCCACCTAAAATCGAGTTTTCTACCCGATAACGTGGAAGCAAACCAAAAAAAACTCACTGCGATCTCCCCAAAACGTCCCTAGATCAAAACTGGATAAGAGGGCAAAAAGCTGCTATAGTAACTGTCCACATCTGAGATCAAAAAGGAGCTACCAAATGAATTTTTTTAGAAAAACACGAAAAAGAAACCCCTACCAAAATCAAATTTTCTATCTAGTAGTATGAGAGTGAGGATGCGGCAAGTGGCATGGACCGGATATAGTTCGCGGGAACGGGATCGGGTCGAATGATTGAAGTAAGATCCATGCCAAAGCACCTTGGAATGGGCCGAACCTGGGGGATCCACCGAGGAAGGTCAAGCCCATTGGAAGATCGAGCCCAGAAGGAAGAGAGCTTTTGGATATAGGCCCAATGTAATCGGTTAATAGCAAAAAGGGTAATGGCTTAGAAATAGACCATTACAGGTGGAAAGTAAGAGAAAGAATTCTAGAGAGAGAGAGAGATAGGAAAAGAGAGAGGAAATGAAATCTTGTATCTTCAATTGGCGCCGTCTGTGGGAACCGAGAACGAAGATCAATTCGAGCCCGATCAGTACCATATTAGTTCAATCGAGTTTGTCAATACGCAGTGTGATTTCTGGAAGTTGAATCCAGATCAGTGAGATTGTAGTTTGTTCAAAGAGAATTCTTGCTTATTGTGGAATCTGAGGCATTTGCTTCGGAGTGACGCAATTGTGATTTGCTTAGTTGCAGTCAGATCCGATGAGTTTGAAGCTAGAAAAGTCCAAATCTAGCAAACAGTGATCACGATTCGGTGAAGTTAAGCCCAGATCTAACGGAGTTTGCATCGGTAACGCTTAGATCTGTTTCGGAGTTCGTAATTCATGCCTTTGCTTCGATCCGGAATCGTGATAGGGGGTGACAACTCTAATACAGCTGAGAACGTCCAGCAAGTGAAACTTGATGAGTTGATGAACATGATCGAAGCTCTTCGGAGAGAAAATGCGGATCTAAGGACTGAAATGCAGCGTCAAGAAGCTCCAGTAATTCCACGACCACTCCTGGTAGGAGAAGAAGGTGCACGTACCGATGCAGCACATCACGGTGAAGAGGTTGGAAACAATCTAGTAGATCCTCACCGCGAGGAAATCCGGCGAGACAGTTTGCCACGAAATCTTCGTCGTATAGATGATCGTGAAGGATCGACTCACATAGATCCACGGCATGAGCAGATCAGGCGAAACAAAGCAATGACTTTTGATCCACATCAAGAAACGCTCAGCCGAGGTGAAGCAACAGAGTTGATTCGTCAGAAAGCTATGCTTCCATGGCGCAAAGACTTTGTTGAGGACAGATCATTCGATTCGACCTATCGGCCTTCCATGATGACATTTGACTATCACAGCTTAAAGAGGAGATCAGTAGACCAGAGAGCAGCCGCGGGGTTCCAGAGGGAAAATGAAGCACTCCGTTCAGCAGCTCGAACAGTTGATTCATCGTTCACCGATGAGATTCTGAATGCTCCGAGTCCGAGGAAATTTTCTATGCCCGTTTTCATTCTGTTCGACGGAACGACTGATCCGATCGATCATGTGTATCACATCCAGCTGAAAATGGCTCTAAAAACTGAGAATGACTCTTTGATGTGCAAGTGCTTTCCTACGAGTCTGGCCGAACCAGCTCTGAATTGGTTCAAGAACCTGCCGAAGGGTTCAGTGGATAGTTTCCGAAGCCTGTGTGATCGGTTCATAAGCCAATACTATGGAAACAAACGTCCAGCGAAAGATATTTCGAGCCTATTCACAATGAAGCAACACGCTGAAGAGCGTCTCCAGGCTTTCCTAACCAGGTTTAACCTTACCAAGAGCATGGTTATTAAATGTCACCCTTCAACGGCAGTTCAAGCATTCATACTGGCCATGAACCGTGGCACCCCGTTCCACACAAGCTTGGTGGTCAACACGCCGAGGACTATGGATGAACTTAACGAAAGAGCCGATGGATTTGTGCGCTTGGAAGAAGAAGAGGCGGCAAACACTCGGAAGACATCCGTTATATCCACGGAAGAAAAGACCGAAGCAAAGATCAGGCAAAAATAGGTTCAGCCACAACGCTCCTAGTGGAAATCTGAGAAGAGGCCCAGAGAGGAAGAGCTGGTTACTCCATTGAAAGTTACCCTAGCGAGACTGTACCAAGAAAATAAAGATAAGTTCTGACCTCCTTTACCAATCAGACAACCTCTCGAACAGAGGGATCAGTCTAAGCACTATGCATTTTATTCTTATTTTGGCCACCAGACTTACGAATGCAGGAACCTAAGGAGACAGGTAGATATGCTGATAGCCAGAGGGGAGTTCACAAGTTATATTCAAGGACCAGTGGTGGAGCAGAACCGACCAATGGAGCACGTGAAGAAGAATCAGAAGTCAAATTCTCACAACACGCAACCAGTTCGAGTAATTAATGCAATTCACGGTCCGCCAGAACCTGCCGAGGAATCAGATGAACTGCTTCGAACACGCCTTCGCCAGGCACGGATGAAGAGAAGGATAGGCAGTGTAAACACTCTGCACCAACAGAGCGCATCAACGCAGATAAAGTTTGACGCAATAGACTTGTTGCGTGTTCAGATCCCTCATGAGGACCCGCTGGTCATAAGTTTGACAGTGGCCAAATGCTTGGTGCGCAGAGTTCTAATTAACCCTGGAAGTAGTGTGAACATCATGCCAAGAGATACATTCGATCGACTCGAGATCAAACAGGATCGGCTGAAATCCACCGGGAATCCACTATTAGGGTTTGATGGAAAGCGAGTGGAGCCCGTCGGCACGGTGGAGGTAGCGGTACGTGCTGTCGAGAGGGTTTTAATGGAAACCTTTGTGGTTGTTGAAATTCATCCCTCTTACAATCTTCTGATGGGCAGAGGGTGGATCCACAGAGTTCAAGGTGTTCCTTCCACTCTGCATCAGGTAATGAGCAGCCTGGGACCGGACGGAACCAAAGTGATTGACATTCATGGAGACCAAGTTACAGCTAAAGAATATTACTCTATAACGCTGAAACATGCAGGAAAGGGGAAAGCTCCCATTCGTTCAATAAGTCCAAGATAGCAATTACAGGAGCCTCCCTCCAAGCAGAATAGAGAGGAGGAACCAGTAGGCTTGACTGAAGAACCCTTGTTTGATGTGCAGATCGATCAGTTCCGATCGGAATGGACAACCAGAGTAGGAGGAAAAGCAGGAATTAGTTGATTTTTTGTCTCAAAATGCAGATATGTTCGCATGGAGTCACCTAGACATGCCAGGGATCGATCCTTCGGTATCCTGTCACTCCTTGAATGTTAACCCCAATGCAAAACCTGTAAAGCAGAAGCAGTGACAGTTTGCCCCCGAGCGCAACCGAATTATTGCCGAGGAGGTTGATAAGCTGCTTAATGCAGGGTTTGTAAGAGAAGTGTACTACCTCGACTGGCTATCAAATGTGGTCGTTGTGCAAAAGAAAAATGGGAAATGGCACGTATGCATTGATTTTACCAATTTAAACAAAGCTTGTCCGAAGGATAGCTTCCCGCTGCCAAAGATTGATCAGATGGTGGATGCAACTACTGGATATGAACGCTTGACCTTTTTAGATGCTTATTCAGGTTATAATCAGATCTCCATGGACACCGCTGATGAAGAAAAAACTTCTTTCGTTACCGAACGCAGGACGTATTGCTACAAAGTTATGCCATTCGGACTGAAGAACGTCGGGGCAACTTACCAAAGACTTATTAGCAAGATTTTTAAGGAACAAATAGGGAAGACAATGGAGGCTTACATTGATGATATGGTGGTCAAAAGTAAGAAGAAAGCTGATCATGTGCAGCATCTTCGAGACGTGTTTGATGTGTTACGGCGATATGGAATGAAGCTCAATTCGACCAAGTGCTCATTCGATGTAAGTTCAGGCCAATTCCTAGGGCACGTGGTTAATCTCAGAGGCATCGAGGCAAGCCCTGCCCAAGTAGATGCTCTAACTAAGAATACCGAGCCGACGACAATCAAAGAAGTGCAAACACTTACGAGACGGATTGCTGCACTGAGCCGTTTCATTTCCAAATTGTCAGATCGATGAAAACCACGTGCAAACACTTACCAAAGACTTATTAGCAAGATTTTTAAGGAACAAATAGGGAAGACAATGGAGGCTTACATTGATGATATGGTGGTCAAAAGTAAGAAGAAAGCTGATCATGTGCAGCATCTTCGAGACGTGTTTGATGTGTTACGGCGATATGGAATGAAGCTCAATTCGACCAAGTGCTCATTCGGTGTAAGTTCAGGCCAATTCCTAGGGCACGTGGTTAATCTCAGAGGCATCGAGGCAAGCCCTGCCCAAGCAGATGCTCTAACTAAGAATGCCGAGCCGACGACAATCAAAGAAGTGCAAACACTTACGAGACGGATTGCTGCACTGAGCCGTTTCATTTCCAAATTGTCAGATCGATGCAAACCATTTTTTGACACAATACGTAACCACGGTAGGCGGGTTTGGGGAAATGAACAACGCCTAGCGTTAACTGCTCTGAAAAAATATATGTAGAACCTTCCGGTACTGTCAGCCCCAGAATCAGGCGAAAAGCTGTTTTTGTATCTTGGAGTATCCAGCATTGTGACAAGTGGCGTTCTGATCCACTACGCAGAAGGGAAGCAATATCCAGTGTTCTATGTTAGTAAGACAATGACTGAGGCCGAAAGACGTTATTCAAAGGCAGAGCGGGTGATACTCTCGCTAGTGCATGCGAAAAGAAAGCTCAGGCATTATTTTGAATCCCATCCTATTATCGTTCTAACCACTTTCCCTATCAGAATAATCCTGCACAAACCAGATCTCTCCGGAAGAATGACGAAGTGGGCCATAGAGTTAAGCTCATTTGATATCACATACGAACCTAGAACAACAGTCAAAGGGCAAGCGGTGGCAGATTTTTTACTAGAATGTGATTTAGAGGACGTGGAGGAGGATCTTTGTAAGTGCTTATGGAAACTCTTCGTCGATGGATCCTCAAATCAGATGGGTACAGGTATTGGAATCAAACTATAGACGCCAGAAGGTACAGCCTTAAGCCAAGCGCTTCGGCTTGAATTCGCAGCCACGAACAATGAGGCAGAGTATGAAGCGTTGCTGACAGGAATAAAGCTTGCCAAAGAACTTAAGGTCAGGAATTTGAATGTTTTCAGTGACTCACAGTTAATCATTCGGCAAGTGAGGGGTGAGTATGAAACCAAGGATGAAACGATGGAAGCATATCGTTCTGCTGTTATGCGGGAGGCGAAGAACTTTGAAAAAATTGAATTCATTCAAATTCCGAGGGAGTATAACGAAGATGCCGACAGGCTAGCATGTAGTGCCTCGGGTTCTGGAGAAACATTGGCAAGGGTGATTCCAGTGGGAATATTAAACCAACCATCCATTTTCGAAGAACCTTCAGGCTCGGACACTTGGCAAGTGAATGTTATTCCATATGAGCCAAGTTGGATTGATCCGATCATAACTTACATCCGAGATGGTACTCTGCCTGAACAAAGAGATGAGGCTAGGAAAATCAAAGCGAATGCTGTAAAGTACACCGTAGTGTATAACCAGTTATACAGAAGATCTTTTTCCGGACCGTACTTAAAGTGTGTTACCCTCACAGAGGCTCGGCAAATATTACGAGCTATTCATGAAGGCGTATGTGGAAACCACTCAGGGGGGAGATCATTAGCACACAAAGCAATGGCTCAAGGGTACTTCTGGCCAAACATGTCACGAGATTCGGAAGAATTGTCCAGAAGGTGCGATAAGTGCCAAAGGTTCGAACCACTGATTCACCAACCGCTTAAAGACTTGCATGTAATGGTCATATCATGGCCTTTCGCACAATGGGGGATGGATGTAGTTGGTCCTCTACCAACTGCCAGAGCTCAAACAAGTATGTGTTACTGGTACAGACTACTAGACTAAGTGGGTGGAAGCAGAGCCATATCCGAGCGTTACTCAAACTCATGTGAGACGATTCATTTGGAGTAATATTATTTGCCGGTTTGGTGTTCCGAGGTCAATCGTCATAGATAATGGTACCAATCTTGACAGTAAGCAAGTAAGAGAGCTGTTGGAGGAATATGGAATTAATCAAAAGCTAGCAGCAGTAAGTCACCCACAGGCCAATGGACAAGCGGAAATTACAAATAGAACAATCTTTACTTGTATCAAGAAGAAACTAGAGGAAAGGAAAGGAAGGTGGTTAGATGAACTGCCGAACGTCCTATAGGCCTACAGAACGACCCCTAGACGACCGATCGGAGAAAGCCCATTCACGAAGGCGTATGGAACCGAGGCAGTTATACCAGTCGAGCACTTAGTTCTGATTGTTCGAAGCTTGGCATGGAACCGTGAGCATAATGACAGTATGCTAAGGTTTAACCTCGATTTGCTGGAAGAAAAAAGAGACGCAGCAATGGTAAGGCTCGCATCTTACTAGCAGATGCTTGTGAACAGCCATAACAGGAAAGTAAAGCACAGAGACTTTAGGCCAGGTGACCTGGTTCTGAAAAAGAAGGTGGGGATAGTCAAAAAGATGATGCCACCATAGGAAAGCTCATACAGAATTGCAGAGGCCATAGGAAAAGGGGCATATACCTTAGAAACCATGGCCGGAAGGCTGGTTAACAAGCCTTGGAATGCTACTTCTCTGAAGAGGTATTATCAATAAAAAGTTGAGATTCAATACTGAATTTTGTTTATTTTAAATTGAAAACAGTCGAATGTATAAGTTTCTGAGATTTATAAAGATTGCACTCCTCTTTAAAAGGCTAAGCAAAGTAAATGGCAGCTGGCACTATGAGCCGAACGCCAAACACTTGCTAAGAAAAATAGAGGGCCAAGTGGCAAGTGGCATTCTAGCCGAATGCCAGGCGCCTGAGCAAAGTAAGTGGCAGTTGGCACTATGAGCCGAACACCAAACACTTACCAAAAAAAAAAAAAAGAAGAAGAAGAAGAAGAAGAAGGAAGTTTACATAAAAAGTTTGATCAAAAATCGGCCATCTCATTAATAAGGTTCAGAGGGTTACAAAAAAATGAGGTGTAAAGATGGTGAATAAGGGCCATCTCTTGATGATGTTAGGCTGCTTCCTCATTATTGGTGGTGTCGCCGTCCTCACGAGGTGAAGAGTCGAGGTGAATGACAGAATTGTTTTGTTGAGTCCTACCCTCAACAGCGTTGGAAGAATCATTCTGCTGAGGGTTATCTTCAGCAGTAATAGCAGATGGAGTCAAGGTGGACAGAGGAAGAATGTCCAAAGTCAGAGCAGCAGGAGAAGTAGGAGTGATCCGAGAAGACGCAATCTCCTGACATTCATCAAATATGCCCTCAACAGCGGTGGAGTCTGGATCGGTATAAACACCAGGAGGGTCAATATCCAGTTCTTTATCAACATTATCAGGGGTAGAACCAGTCTGACCTTCATTCGGAACGCGATCGGCGTAACCCTCTCGGAACCCCTGAGCATATCTGAGGGCTCCAACTCTAGAAAATCGAGTATACAGAGCTAGCATACCACCATTTACCCTGCTGATGGTATCAAGTAAAGCGTTGCGCTCGTCCAAGGCCCTTTTCTCAAAGGCCATCCGAGCGGATTGCTCATCACTCAGAAGGCGTAGTAGTTCTTCCTTCTCGGCTTTAAGGGATTCCCGCTCGGTCTGCCAGATGCTCTTTTCAAGCTGCAGAGCATTCCTCTCATCCTGAAGAGAGTCAGTTTCCTTCCTCAGCGAATCCCTCTCTTTTTCAATTTTACCAAGCTGAACCATCAACCCGGTCTTCTGAGCAGCCAAATCATCGTTCTCCTTGTTCACTGCATTAAGGTTGTCAGAAAGCGCGCGGACCTTGGCATTCACATGCTCAACTTGTTTCTGCATAGCCATCATCCCGTACAAGGTCTGTAGAGATATACAGGACAACTGGTTAAGCCGAGCAGATAGTTAGAAGAAAATAAGTGTCAAGAGTGTGTAAAGATTTATTGACTAAGAGGCAGAAGTTACCTCCATGGCGGACAAGGGAAATCGGCTGAACACCTCCCTCTGAGACAGACCTTTGGCTACCTCGATGTCCTTAGGAGTCCACATACTCCTGTAGTAAGCCATTGCGGTCTGACCATCTTTGAACATGGTCTCGGTCGGTTTTACAGACGATCCGTCTGTTCGAATGAAGCGAGGGCTCCATGGCGCCGTTCCTAAAGCGGAGGCGTGCCCAGAAGGGGTAGGGGGCCTAGTTTGAGGAGGTCTCGCCAAGGATATCACATTCGGCCCAGATGGCCTAACCCTCTGAGACAAGGGAACGTCATCTATGCTGAGGGCACTGTCAGGTTGATGCCTTTTTCCTCTGGCCTTTTCCCGTGCGAAAGCAGTAGTAGAACCAGGAGGATTATTGACAGAGGGGGTAACATTCGGACTGGCAATCGCCGTGTTAGCGACCGGGTCAGCAGCCGTCACGGATGGATTGGTGGAAGGAGTGGTGTCAGAAAGGGTAGCGGAGGAAGATGCTGAAGCCGGTAAGGAATTTGATTCGGAGGTGATAGCAGACCTGGGGGCAGTTTTCTTCCTGCCGAAGGAAGGGATCTGGAGTTGGCTCATTGTCTTACCGAGGACTGAGATATCGAGGAGATTATCTGAGGTGAGAAGGTCCGAACAGGAGGGAACGTTGGTCAGAACGTACCGCTTCAGGTAGTTATCCCTATCCCTGCACACACTGTAACTCAAATCATCACAAGGAATGCCTAAGGAATGGCACAAGAAAATATAAAAACGAGGAATGCAATTCTCGCAAGGACAGTCACTCTTATGGTTTTTATATTTCTTGTAAAAAGAGACAAAGCATTCTCCAAAAGCGCTCGAGATAGGGAAATCCTCCGCAGCTGGAGAGAACCAGGCTCCCCTAACCCCAATAATGTTTTTCCTCCAGCCCTTCTCGGATTTGATTTTATCCGTGCAGGTGGACCTCTTCTCAATGGGGAAAAAGTGGTAAAATGGTTCGTCAGTCCTGATCTTGCTGACCTTGTAACAAAGGAGAAGATCTACGAGGTCCAGATCCAGACCTCTGTCACGAATCAGGAGTAGCATAACGGATAAAATCCTAAGGAAATTGGGGTTTACTTGTAAAGGGGAAAGATTTAGCTTGTTGAAAACATAGCAAAAGAAAGGATGTAAAGGAAACCTAAGGAGATTGAGATAGAGGAGTGAAAACAGGACCTCGCCGGGAAGAAGGCCAGCACCGGTTCTAATATTCACTTCTCGGGGGCAGTTTCTAATTTCTACATCATCAGGGAGGTGAAGTTTCATGCGAAGAACGTCTAGATCTACTGTCATGGTGAGAGTGAATGAAGATTCCGGGGAGGAGAAAGAAGTCTTCCAAAAGAAAAATGCAAATGAAACTAACCTTAGAGAGTGAAAACGGCAGAAAGTATTGCAAAGCCATTAGAAGGAGGATCTTTCGCAAGAGATCGCCGGAGAGGATTCAAACAGCAAAAGGTGAGATGGAGACGGTAAAGAGGATCGATGGAGAATCAATGAAGCTTATAAACACAAGGTGAGCCCAAGGGCCGAGGAGTCAGGAAAGCGATGGGTTGTCTTTTTGAATCTCGAAATGCCGACCCCTAGATCTAACCGTCCATTCGCCCACACGATCTTCTCGAGCCATTAGGTCATCATTAGCAGCCTCTAATAATTACCCCCTAATCAATAAGGGTAATTATGGGGGCAGTTGAGGATGCGGCAAGTGGCATGGGCAGGATATAGTTCGCGGGAACGGGATCGGGTCAAATGATTGAAGTAGGATCCATGCCAAAGCACCCTGGAATGGGCCGAACCTGGGGGATCCACCGAGGAAGGTCAAGCCCATTGGAAGATCGAGCCCAGAAGGAAGAGAGCTTTTGGATATAGGCCCAATATAATCGGTTAACAGCAAGAAGGGTAATGGCCTATAAATAGACCATTACAGGTGGAAAGTAAGAGAAAGAATTCTAGAGAGAGGAGAGATAGGAAAGGAGAGAGGAAATGAAATCTTGTATCTTCAGAGAGAAAATGGAAAAAGACTCACTGTAAAATGCCCAAAATGCCCCTTCATGAAATCAGGTCATGAGGATTAAAAAGCTGCTAAAATGCAAAACAGAAAGCTGAACTTTACGAGGGATTTCCGATACCAAGATAACATTTTCTGGAAAAACACAAAGAAGAAATAGCCCCTAAAATCACGTTTTCTAAATGACCATGTGAAGACCGGAATTTATTTCTTGAATGAAAATCCAAAAATGCCCTAAAATCATATTATGCAATAAAAATATAAAATGAGTCCATAGGAGGCTCAAATCACCAAGGATGTTGTAGCTAAGTCAGTAGGAATATTACATCTGAAATTAGAGAGTATGAGGATATTAGTATTAAAGAATTATCTTTATGCACAGATGATTAGATGCAATCTCATTCTTGTTTCACTTTTGGTTTATAAAAACTATGTTATTATTTTTTGTAAAACTGCTTTTATAAAATTGAATAGATATGTAATTGCTTCTAGTGCGAAGAAGATAGTTAATTTACTATAACCACTAGCTCTTAATATTTGCAGGATGTAGAACCTAATGTTGCATCTTTTAGATTGAATGTTAAAAGAAAATTTGTTATTCCTAACTCATTGTATTTTTGGTTTCTACTATTGGGTTATAATCAGTCAAAATGAGATTTAAAGATTGGTCAAAGAAGGTTAATTACCTAGTGAGGTAGAGGAGCCTAAACCAACTTGTGAATCTTGTATTGAATGATAGATTACTCTAAGGGTTTTAATTAGCCAAATCAAATAGACATAAAGAATAATTGGAGTAGGTACACACTGACATGTGTGGTCTTATGAACATCCAAGTAAGACTACTCAGTTTTAGATATATTTACCTGATGTGACACAGGTCTTAAACTTTTAG